TAAACTTTATACTAGACTTTTCATGTCTGTGCCTCAGCTTCCTCATGTGTAAAATTGGGGCAAGAAAAATATGTATTCATGGAGTTGTAGTTAGGATTATGAGAGTTCACAGGCACAACACCTTGGGATGATGCCTGGAACCTGGTAAAGGCTAAACAAGAATAGGTAACACTATTAGGAAATTCTCTGTATCACTCAGAACTAGGTTAAATGAGACCTCTTTCACAAACCAGGCTCATCCTCCAAACCACAGTCAATCACAGCTCCTTCTGTGCCCATAGTCCAAGCTAGTGTAGTCTCCAAATCTTTCTTGCTTTATTTTGTTGTATATGATTGTCCGTCTCTTGTGAGCAACTTGAAGACAGAGACCTGGTCTAATACATCTTTCTTTATATCCCTCAAAGACCTTCCACAACATCTTGAATACAGTTGCTATTGTTGTTAACAGCTGTCGTTGAGTCAGCCCAACACATGGCAGCTCCATGCACGATGGGATCAGACCACCATTGTGACTCAAAAAGTCTTCATTGGCTTTTCACTGTCAGACTTTTTTTTTCCTCCCACTGTCAGACTTTTCTTCCCAATGTCTCAGTCTGGGAACTCTGCTGAAATCTGATCAGCATCAGAGTGACATGCAAGCCTTCACTGACGGATGGTGGCTGTGCCTGAGATGCACTGGCCAGGAATCAAACCCGGGTCTCCCACATGGAAGAGGAGAGTTCTATCACTGAACCACCACTGCTCCTCCTCTACACAGGAAGCTCTCACTAAACAGCTTCTTGTAAACAGTTTCTTGATGGAAATTAATCTGAAAAAAGGAATAGAAGCAGGTAGCTGAAATTCAGAGCCTTCCTGGGTTCCTTTTAAGGATATGGTATGAGAGCTGTTTATTCTACACTATATACCCAGAAGAAAAATATCCTCATCATCTAAAAAGCATTTGGGTACAGTGGCTCAAAGGTAGCTGTGGAATAAATGGAATGTGATTGCAACCTGGGGTCCTTCTATGAACCTGCTCCAACTCTAGTCAAAATGGTGTTCTCTGTACTTTTTTTCCCCTAGAGACTTTCTAGAGAGATGTCATTGGATGTTCAAAGTGTTCTATAAGGCCCCACAATTAAAACCACTGGCTTGGTTATTTAGAGAGAAAGTCTGTGCCCCCTAGGACCTCACAACAGAATAAAGACACACCTATCCTTACAAGGCAGAAATGCCCAAGTTAGAAAGCACTGGAAAATGGGTACCTTGTGGTTTCAGTGGAAACTTAGGAGGGGCTCCATGACATGTTAACAACAGGTGAGGAAGGGAAATAACAGGCAGATAGATGGCATGGGACCTGAGACTCTCCAAGGCCACTACTCCTCAGTGGATGTGGTGCCAAAGGTGATTATGACACACGTCCATGCTTGGGATTCAGACACTCGCCATTTTACTCAGTCTGGGTGAGAGAGTTGTTTTCTGTCAGGGAGACTAAAAAACTTACTGCATCAGGATTCAGACACACAAAACGAGGCTGTTCACCTAATGATTGTACAGAGAGTTAAGTGACACTTAAAAAACAAGGTAAGCCTGCTACCAGAACAAAGGGGCGACAAAGACCATTAGTGTTAGAGTCCTTGTAGCATTTCATGTGGACAGATGATTTGGAAGGAGCCCTGATGCAGGGGCCTGTTTTATTTGCAGAAGCCATGGTAGTAAATTAAAGCCCATCCTAGCCCATTGTGGGCTCTCAGGTTTCTCTTAGAACTACTGCTATCACTGCCCATAGGCCACTAAAACCTGCCCACATTCTGGATGATTAATTCTGCTCAAACAGCAGGGCACACACTCATGTCGAAAAACTCACTTCAAATAAGCCATTAGCTTCCGTTATGGATTGTTCAGGTCATAAGGAATTAGACCTGGGAGTCTTATCTTCCATAGAATAGAAAGGAGGTATTTGAAAAGGTGAGGGGAACTGGAGAAGCCAGAAGGTTCTATATGAGCCCCTCTGCTTTGCATTAATAAACAAGAGAGATCTCGCAAAAACAGCCTCTGGTGAGCTCATTGCTAATGCCAGCTTCAAATGAAAATGGCACGGACTCTTCACTCATACACTAAAAATGAAGGACGGTGGAGAGACAGTTATATATGGGTGTACGTATGAAGCACTGAGTGAGTTAGTGACAGAATTTTTGCCTTCCACCCAGGAGATCCAGGTTCAATTCCAGGCCAGTGCATGTCTCGCGCAGTCACCACTCATCTGTCAGTGGAGGCTTGTGTGTAGCTATGATGCTAAACAAGTTTCAGTGATGTTTCAGATGAAGATGGACTAGGAAGAAAGATCTGGCAATCTACTTCCCAAAATCAGCCAATGAAATCTAATAAACACAACAGTCCAATCTCTAACCGATCATCATGAGGATGGTATAGGACCAGGCAGTATTTTGTTCTGTTGTGGCTGGGCTCACCGTGAGTCCACATAGCAGCTAACAGCACCACTCATGATAGGCAGAGGATGAAGAGTGCCTGGGACATAGAAAGTCATGATAAAGGAGGGTGTCCAAGGTTTTCTGACTTGTCACAGGCTGGTCTATGCTGGCTGAGCTAGGATGGAGACCTTCGTTGGCTGGTCGGAAAAATCACCCACCAACAGTAGCTGCGCCCATAGCAGCAGCAGCAGCAGCAGCCCAAAGGCACCTGCATGAGAAGTCTGAATTCTGTAGCTGGCAAGTTTCGGCTTACCGCCTGACCCCCGTTTAGCAATTCTGATGTACCAGGGAACAGACAGCTCCACCCCGGGATGGCTGCCTCCCTCAGTCCCTCTCCAGCAGGCAATGAAAGCAGAATCCACTTTGAAAATTCTCCCCCATCATGCAAACTGACACAGGCATGCTTTTCAAAAACCCACAGCCAATCTGTTGATCATTACTTATTTACAAAGGCCTTCGGGCTGAAAGTCCTGTAAAAACCATGCTTGATATGGTATACACTAGCTTTTTCTGCTTGTGGAAAAAAAGTCCCCCCAAGGCTACCTCAAACCATCACTTTCTATTGCACATAAAATGTAGCGTGTAACACTAAAGTATTTAATATATATGGTATAATATATCTACAGGAAGGCATTTGTGTAGAAGTATGTTACCCTGGATTTGGTAATTTGATGTTTTGCTGAAGGCTACGACTTAAAAAAGCCTCCACCTCGTACAGAAGACCTGTCATCTTGGTACCCAAGAGCCAACAGAATAAAGAAGTACCCTTAAGCAGCAAAACTTTGACACAGCTTTGAAGCATATGAAAACAGTATAACTCTTCAGAATTATTATTACTCAAGATCAAAGAAAAGAACCATACTTTACATAGCAAACAGGGACAGGGAATTTGGCTCCAAAGGTTGGAGATTTTTCAGACTTCTCTTTATTTATTTATTTGCTTCTCTAAATTTAGGCAAAGCAGAGCTCCTGTGCCTTCCTGCACTTCAAATGAATAAAACTATTAGCATTAAGATAAGGCGATTATCTAAAGGTGAGTCAATAGGAATGAACGCCAGCAGACAACTGGTGCCATAAAAATGAGAAGGTTGGCAGTTGAGGCATTTTATTCCTCCTCATAAACTGTAAACAAGCATGTAAATCAGCAACACCTTAGCCAGGCTCAGTGAAGGGGAGGGCAGAGAAGTTTTAAGGAAACATTGAACAAGAACAGTTGGTCAAAATGGAAGAAGTGATAAGGCTGAGTGAGTCTCCCACTTAGAACCCATGTCCTCAACCTCAGAGAGGACTGCTCTTGTTATATCCCAGAAAGGTGGATGCAGAGGGCCAGGGAAATGGAAAGGTGACTAAGAAGGGGAGAGGGAGAAGAAAAGCACCCTAATTTTATTTCAATAAGCAAAGGGAAGGGAGTGGCCAATGGGAATGAAAAAAGGATAGTAACTGCAAAAACAGCAGATGTGCTGTATGTGGCGGCCATAACCACCGACTGTAAATCTGACGATCATTTCTGTTTCACAGAGATGCTAGAGAGTTAGGCTATCAAGGAAATAAGCAGGGTGGTGCAGACAGGTCATGCTAGACTACTAACCTACAGTTTAGCAGTCTGAACCCACGCGGCAGTGGTGCAGAAGAAAGGCCTGGAGATCTGCTTCCACAAACATGACAGCCACAAAAACCCTATGGACCCATTCTACTTTGTAACACGTGGAGCTGCCGCAAGTCACAAACAACTTGACAGCAGTGGGTTTGGTTTTTTTGTATGTGTGGCTTTGGCAGATGAAGAAAAGACAAAAAATGAGGGAGGCGAGATGGAATATGAATCAACCAAGAATACGAACCTGTAGAACTGTAAGGAAATTTGGTTTTACTTGCCACTTCCAAAAGGAAGTATTGAAAGAGAGAGCGAGAGAAAGCACGCTGCATTTCATAATTAATACTGCTTTTAGACTGTGCAGAACTGGATTACTTTTGAACTTTGCTTTGGCAAGTCCACAGATTATTAGACTTTTTTTTTATCAGTCAAAATCAATTAACAGAAATTTGATTTCAATCGACAGGATAAAAGGAAGGTAATCTTCAGGTTCATTTTTGATTGTGATGATACATCTCACATATGGCCTTAAGTACAGAAAACAGTCCTCGGAGGGACTCCAGCAGAAAGAGACTTGCCGGAGGCAAACTAACCACATGAGTTCCTCTGATTGGTTCCCGCCGTCATTAGTGCCACTGCTGTTTAGGAACTACACATAGACAGGACACAGTGACAGCTAAGACTTTAAAGCCTATGTATTTTTCAAACAGCTTTTCAAACTGTTTTTCATGACAGAATTTTTTCAGCTCTATCATTAACTGCTGACAAGCTGACAGAATAAATACTCCAGCCTTTAAGAAGCCATCTAATGATCTCACTCCCCTCCCCCTGCCTTGTTCTCTGTGGGGAGGGAGAGGAGGCAGGCACTGGGCTTGGGCAGGGTGAACAGAGGGGAAGAAGTTGCTAGAGGAGGAACCTTCTGCAGCCCCTCTCCTTACCTCATCAGCTTGGGCGAGGTGTTTGGGGAATTCCTCATGCCTCCGTTCCGTTGCTTTTTTTTGGGTGACAGCGTGGACGGCTGCTCGTCTTCAACTGGAAATACAGGCAGCTCATGAGATTATGAACAGTGTGAGGGCAGACTGTGAAATACAGGCAAGATATCAAAGGACACACACTCAAGGCTCAGTCACTCACTAGTAATTCATGGCTGTCTTTTTTTATTTTTTTAAGGCCCCAATGACAGAGACCAAATGTGTTAGTCGAAGAGGCTGGCTTAGAAAAGGTGAAATCACTCCCTCTTGACACGGCAGTGCTTTGAACATGCACTATAAACAAACTAAAACAGTTTGTAAACATCCCTGCCACAAGAGCAAAAGAAATAATAATTTATCTGCATATAAAAAAATATGGAAGCACTCAACGTAATTCTTAATTTTTGGTTCAGTTGCTTTGTTGGGTCATCGAATGAGTTTTCTCATAACCAAAATAAGGGATGAAGTTGTATTTGAAATAGTGACATCATGGCTGCCAGCCTGCTGTTTGTCCCCATGAATGCACGTAACTGGTTCCAAATCTTTGCATGCTGGAGAAAGAGCCTTCAGGAGACACAGGGATTCAAGGCCTTAACAACCAATGTTTCAATCCCTCAGGACTGGGAACATCGGCACTTGCTGGCTCAAGAATTCCTAGCCCAACTCAGCTCTTAGTTCTCCACCTCCGGAGAGAGAGGATATGTAGGGCTGTGCAAACGGGACCTTTGTGAACTGATAGGAAAATGGGGGCTGACAAGGTTAGAGAGGCTGGGTGGAGAAGAGCATCCAAATGGAGGAGGCGGCTGCCATTAAATGATATCTCAGATGATGCAGGGATGGAAGGTGGGGAGGGGAGGGTAGCATAAGGACTGGAAACCAAAAGCTGTTTTCCAAATATCTAAACCACACAGATCACTAGGCAACATGATGCTTTGCTCACAACACAGCACACTCTGCTGCTTTTGCCCAAAGACACCTACTAATAAGCTTTGTAGATGTAGCCCGCGTCATGCATTTTTTTTTTTTTTTAAGAGAGTTGCTTGATAATTAGTAGATGCGTACTCAGTCTGTCACCCACGGGTACCAGCGGCAAAATTCTAGTCCTCCTCTCCCCACCCCCACCAGTCAGACTAAAGCTGTAATGTCAAGAAGGAAAAAATAGGATCCTCGGATTCTTAAAGTTGACTGCAACACAGACTAGGAGGAAGGACCCTGAAACTCAGAATGCACGGCAGTTACCTTAAAGCTAAGAAGAGAAATATTAGCAGTGACGACGTCAAAAGAAGCTTGATAGATGTTAATGGTGTACAAGTCTCAGGTGGGGGGAGGAAACGTCATCTCAGCTACTTGATATTATCCAGGAAGACTCATATCAGAGCATGCATTCTACGATACTTCCCTGAAAACCCTAAATAAATTTATTATGCTATGATAGATGGTTTCAAAGGGATTATAATAATCCAAAGGCCCTCCAAACCTGCTCTATCCCACTTCGTATACTCCCCTATCCTACTGTCAGCCTGGGGTTGTCTAAATCCTGGCTGACACAGAAAAAGGGAACAAGAACGTAGTGCAAGGTGAGAGCGGTACCAGAAGCAATGAAGGCAAGAACGCACCTGCAAACGCCCCCAGCTCACTTACTCTCCCACCTGCCCCACCCCCTCCAAAGGTCCGTATCAGTCACTTACTGCTGTGGCTGGGAGGATATCACATCTTATCAGAAATGAGTATCCACAGCAAATCACACTAAGACTAAACAGCACTTAAAAGATTAAAGGAAATAAATACAAGCTACATAAATGGTATTGAAAAAAATCACTTAGAGTTGATATGCATCTGAGAATTGATATGCATCTCAGAGTTGATATGCAAGCATGCAGGCACTCTGAGCTTGACCTGAATTCATCTTCCTTTCAAAGGACAAGTGTTCCCGCACTTGAGGGGAACAGCTGGGGCAGAAAGGCAGCGAGTGAGAGAGTGAGAATGAAAGAGAGAGTGTATGTGTGTGCGTGTGCAAACACGTGCATGTGTGTATGTGCAGGCAAGTATAATTTTGTGCTTCCCCCATCTTCAGACGGGGTAGAAAGTCTTGCACTGACTCCAAGGTCACCTTTAAATATGGACCACTTGTAATTGTTGTATTGTGGGGAGGGTGATCTAGATTAGCTGAATAGCATGCTGGAACAAATAACATGTGTGCTTGTCTGCATATGAGTATGTCTTAAGGCCTTGCAAGTTCTGTTCTTTTCTTTCACACAAGCCTTCTTATTGTTAGAATAATATCCAAACATCCAAAAGGTCTTTCATCTAACCTAGTCTACAATGGCTAGCCTGATCAAGGCCACCAGATGTTACCATGGCTTTATGCAATTATACGATGAGTCTCTATTAGTTAAAATTTGAACAGCTGTCACGCTCACTGGCATTCCCTTTGGTTTCTCTTGCCTAACTTTTGTGTCTCCATTTGCATTCAGCCTGGGATGAGTAACCCCCCTTTGGTTAAGTGCCCATTATCCTTACACCTTGCCAGTATCTATGTTTACTTCCAGCAATCTTCAGATGGGAGCCCTTGAAAGTTAATACCTGTTAGCCAGCTCCAGGGAGGCACCTCATTTTGGTGGTAAAGTTATGCCTCCTTCTATGCAAGGAAACTATTTATTTTCATTGCACTCAGAAAGATCATCCATCATAATCATATTGCATTTAAACTGGGATTTGTTCTCTTAAATGAAACTCGTGTTCAAAGGTTTCCTCTGTGCTCACAGCCTGGAAATGCAGATCTGTTCCCTGAAGAGCTGGGGGAAAATGTCTCCAGCTTAAATATATGAACGCTGTGTAATGGACACCATTATATATGGCTTAGATCCCACAAGGAAGCCATGATCTCTTCTTATAAGTAGGATATAAACCATATTTAATTATTAGCCTTTATATGGATTCTGTCTATTCCTGCATATTTAAAGAAAGTGGATCTAAGAAAACTTTTAGTTAAGCTATAAAATATAATTTTCATTTCATGGCTTCTATGACTGCATGAGAAGAATAAAAATTGAATTAAAAGGGCGACTCAAATTTACTTACTTTCATGAAAGACAAATGTATTGAAGTAATAGGCCACTACCTCATGACAAGTCACATTTACTGGCCTATAGTTAACTGACTTTTGGGCTAATGACAATACACCTCTGTTCTCTAGCATTTTCATTTGCCTTCCTGCTGTGGAAGTCCCATGAAGATATGATCCTTGACAGAACCCTGACTTACCAGCTTCCTTAAAACACAAACAAGTTCAGGAATCCAACGTGGAATTTTTATAGGAGCTGAACTCTATCCAGTCTCCAAGTACTCATAAAATTCAAGGGCTTGTTTTTGCACATCCCTAAGTATAACACTTAATGTGCTGTTGTAACTTCCCAGCGCTCGCTTGTCTAATAGGCACTGAATCTCACAGTTTTACAGTTTGGGAAGACTCAGTGCTAGAAAAATGTCAGGCAAGTGTAATGAGGCTTCAGATCCCCTGGTTTACGCTAGTGTTTAATTTAAAGTTACAATGATGTTTTAACATGTTTGCTTATACTTCACTAAAGAGGATTCATTATTTCAATGACATAACCTCCAGACAATGTTCTGGGAATTGATTTAAGATGTGGTGGTAATTCCAACAGCCTTAATGCAGAGTCGAACATCTGTAACAACATTTTACTCAACTCTTCATCGGCATTCTGTTTGCAAAAGAAAGGCAACATCTTCCAGAAACACTGGCCAGGATGCTGAGCTTATTTCAAGGTGATCATATATGTTACAAGATAATTTTAAAAGATATCTCTTTCTTTTTCTGCCTTAGCCATTTTGCAAGCACCGTGTTAGGGTTCACGCATGTCTCTTTATGAGCCCTTGGAATAAAATGAGGCAAAAATTATAACTGTCAGCTTTCCATAATATTCCAATCAAAGCATATGATGGACCCAGCACTCCAGCCTAGGACACACTTCCTCTTCTTTGTTTTCCCAACAGAATTTAGGAGATGATGCCTTTAGGGACTTAAAGGTGAATTTGTTGGCTGGAGTTACAAAATAGTTCAAAGTAAATAAACTCAGAAACGCTATAAAGGCAAACAACCCATAAACATGAGTCAACTGGCTATCTCCATTACATTATTAATCACCACATCTGGAGAAGCCCACATCTGCACACACTTAGCAGGTCATTAGTAATGTCATATTCACACTGGAATCACTCAGCATAAGAGTCATGCAAAGTGTTTTGAACGCAAAGGCATCTCGCTAACAGGGCTTCCTTTGAAAGTTTGGAGCAAGCTGCAAGTTTGGTAGTGGGGATACTTTAATTATTATTTATTGTTTCTATGGCTTTTCAGTTTAGTATTATGCTGCCCAGAAAGCTGAACGCATGCTGAAAGCCACAGTAGTGCATCTGTCTTCTTCAAGTGAGCTCAGCCTGTTACAATAGAGGGTTGAGGGGTACAGGGCAGAGCAGACACCCTTTGTAGTTACTAAAAATTGGGATGGGTTCCAGTACTCCTTCACCTGGCTCGGTCACAAGCCGAGAATTGGGAGTCGCATTCTTGAACTCAAGTGGGTCTTTAGGATAGCGTGATCTAGCTTCAACCTTGACTGCCAAACAATAAGGAGGAAAAAAAAATGAAAATTAATCCTTTGTGAAATTTTTCGTTATAAAAGTTCCAAACCAACCTTAACATTGAGTAGAATCTTGGCTTTGAATTAAAATGGAAGTTTCTCTCCCACAGTTGATTTGCAGTTGTTTTTCTGTCTTTCACTCTGATGACTTCCTGGCATCCTTTTTGCTGTGTTATCATCATCGATGTCAATAAGGATAGTATTTGTGGAAATTCAGAAGTTGTGCAGTAACTCCCTCACAAACACAAAAACCTCAGCTGAGCAGCCCTATCAGATCCATAATCTCCCAACAGTACAAAAATGAATCCTACTGAATAATCTTATTTCAAGACATCAACCCTCAATGTTAGATTATTGTCTGTCACTCCTACAAAGGTGACACGTAGCATCTCCTTGTAATTTCAGT